ATACTCAACGTCTTGCCGACTACACGGGGTCCCATCTATTCTGGTCTGGTTTGCAGCTGATCGTTCCGCTACGAAACTCACCTTGGATCGCCGTCGGTGAAATTCCCAGAGCTCGCGCCACGAACTAGGTACACATTTCCTCTAAAAGATGCTGAGCGACGAGCGCCGAGAAGCTGTGTGAGAACAAAGTTTCGGCTTTCCGTCGACCCATGATTAGGTGGCTAAGTGAATGCCGGGGCGGATAATCGCCTGTTCTGCAAATCTCGATTCTATGCGAGAATGGAGTTGTCGACTGACAATCAACCCTCGGCCGCTCGCCCGGGGCTCGCGAGCGTCCAGATGGGGGTTCATGGTGCCATAGAAAAGCCATTCATTTGGATTTGTTGCAACAGCGATCAAGATGTCAAAACTGCTGCACATGGGGTGCTACGGTTTGTAACGCATCTGTAGCACTCCCGTCTCGAGCTCCAACGAGTAAGCGTCCGAAAGTACTGGAAAAAGTACGTCAAGACTCAGATCTGGATCAGGAAGCGATCAGCAAAGCGACTTGGGTGCGATACGGAGACCCAGAACGGAAAATGAAGAGCCGCTTTCGTTTGCACGCGTGCCACCCTCTTTTGATAACCGATAGGTGCAGGCACGCGTTTAAGATTTCGCGAACGACTGTAAGGAACTTCTGACGATCGGGACAGACGGCAGAACTGGCTCCAGGTACGTGCGAGTGTGCAAGTCTCCGCGAATGTGTGAGAACTGAGGTACGTGATCGCTTGACTCTCTTTCATGAGCTTGATCAACTCACCGACAAAATGAAATTCAGATTAGGTTGTCCGATTCAGCGGTATCTATCCGAAAAATTGTTGTATAATATTTCTTCGCCGGAACAGGAGTTTCGCAGATATGGAGACCGGAAGCGGGGGCATTATTTGGAGTCGGAGTCCACGCGAATTCCCGGAGAGTCAAAAGAACGACTGACCTCCACGAGGCGTCTCAGACGGCTAGCCGGCATTGTAGTTGAGAGCTCCTCAACCGATGACCCCCGATGCAGAGAGTTTCTCCATCCAAAAGAGATTGCACGGATGCATTCCGGGTGGCAAAAATCCGCTGCTCGCCTGTGGGGCTCTCGGTCCACCTCTTCCGCCCACGATTCGGTTCACTTTACTCGAGTGTGTGTCTGGACACTTCACAACTGGATGCGTATAACGCAAAAAGTAGAAACAATCTCGTCAATCGCGGCCGCAGCCTCCGTGCTACGATTGAAGCAGTATCGAGGAGGCGACTCTTTTTTCCCCGCAAGCCTCTGTTGACACCGGCGAACTCTGTGCGGATGCTTTCACCATGGCGGAAGACGATTCCAGAAACCCCTCGTAACGGGGCTTCGAGGTGGATAGGATGGTGGGTGGGACAGGCGTATCTCGGACACTGCAATATTCGCAGGGGCAGATGTCTCAACACGGACGATCGGAAAGCAGCAGAGATTTTCCAAGGGAATGCACGGACGCAGTGCAAGGCAAGTGCGGAGCTCATTGGGAGAGATTGGCAGGCTCCTCTCGGCCGAAAGCTGTTCGTGGTTCCCGAATTCGATAGACGCGAGCCTAATCTACGCTCGCAGCCGCCGAACGGTCGTCTGGAGAGGGAAGCTCGGAGTGACAGTGGAACAAACAAAGCCCCTCGACTGATTTCAACTTAGAGCACAAAACGACCGCTCTACTGTTAACAATGAACTTCTTTTGTGTAATGAAGAGCATCTCTCTTTTTCGCTCCCGCGTTTTTTTCCCGATGAACATTGTAACTAAGTTGAGCTCTGTGGCTTCGTGACTCGGAGGAGCCTTTTTCTGGGTCAAGTGCCACGCGTAACTTTCCTCATCCGTAATGTCTATTCGGTCGCGGTGTTCCCGCGCTCTCAACAGGAGCGTCTGAATCCGGAAAATAAAAACCGCAGTCTTCCTCCGGGACGCCAATTCCTAGTTTTCGTCTCCACGGTCTCGCTCTCATGCAGCGACGGCGTAAGTCTACGCAAGGTCTGGCAGCATCGATCGCTGGGCGCTCAGTTTTTGATTTAGCTATCGAGAGAAAAATCAAAAGGACGATATTGTCGAGATTCCTATTGTTTAGCGAAGCAGTCGTGGCGATCGCCTCCAGTGGAAGCCAACATGAGTGAAACAAAAACATCTCCAGAATATGGTATAACTCCGCAAGTGTCTGTCGACTCAAAGAGACTGGCTGTTGGTCGCGCGCGCTTCCTCTCGTTACTCGCTCTCTAGCGAGTTCCCAGTCGTGTTCCTTCGTTCGCATAGTATATTTTCCTGAACCCGCTCCCCATCGATAGCGTGCTGCTTCTGCTTCGAAACTCTCCGAACCTCGAGACTCGAGACCCTCTTAAGAAGATGTTTTCACGAAGTCTACACCAACATCGTTATCCGCATGATCGGCCACATGACAGACCGATGTAGGTCTCCAGGCAGTTCAGATCACTGGGTAGACAATGCGACCGAAATCACTATCTGAAAGGTCAGTGTTCCCCCGAATCATTGGCGTCGGAGCTCATGGCAACCGTCACCCGAGCAATGAGCGATCTTGCGTGTTACAAATTTCCGATGATAGATAGAGAATCCGCTCCACATATACTTACGCGCATTCCTCCCGTGCCTGGACCTCGGGAATCCGTAGCTCGTGAACGTAAGGGTCTGCTCTTCAGATTGAAGATAATGCAAGAGCGATTTCCGTGGAAAAGCGAGTTCTCAGGGAAGTTATCAAAATGCCTGATCAGCGAAAAAATCGAGGATTTCTCTCCGAGAGCTGAGTTGTTTGACCCTTGGTCTCGGCTAGAGTGAAATATTAACGCTGACTCGCGGCTGAGGAAACTCTCGAGGTTTCAGCGCGAGTTCTCGATTTTGTCCTGCTGGATCTCTGTTCGCCCTTTGTAGACGATCAATGCAAAATACGTGGCGAGTCGCGAGCCGCATCGTAAGATGAAAGATATTCAACCAATTTAGATCCTCATAGACAACGCTTGTTGTGGTGACCGAGATTGTTATCGATTGGTCTTGCGACTTTTGTCGCCAACGTTCATCATAATTCAGACCTGAGGTGGAGCTCTCCCCTCACCGATGTGGCTCGAGAACTCATCCGCCGGCTATTCACGGGATCCCTGGATAGATTCGACTCTCCAGAATTCGCATTCTAGATAAACTTGCAACGATCACAGACTCGCTCGGACCGCACGATCACGTTCGTCGAATTGTTCCGAGCTCGTCAAGATGCGTCTGTCGATACGTCTTAAACGCGACCGCGTGCCGTTGTGTCGCCGATAGACGAGTCCGATGGGAGGCAGAGCATCGTTGAGAATTCGTGGCGAGCGATGCAAAAGAAACTAACCCGCGGACACACTATTCTTGCGCAGAGAAACGCTCGAATCACTAGGAGCAGCAATAAATCCGGATTGGAGAGACTCGAAGTGCAATATGCAAAGTGCAAAGTTCTCTTGCCTCTAATGATTCTCAATTGAAATGAACGATAACTCAAGTTTATGGTCCAAATATGCAAACAGCTCAACAGCCCCTGAACGATACTCTCAATCCATTTCAAGCTTCCTTTTGCTCTTCTTCCTTCGGAGCGAAGTCCCCTTATTCCTCTGACAGCAACATTCCATCGAATTCGAGATGGAAACGCCTGACTGACAGGAGACTCCATCGAGTCTTGGAAACATGTCCCTGGCTGATGAATTTCCTGAATGGGATCGCTCGGAGCTCGGTATTCGATGATTTCACCCGAGCGTGCGCCGAACGTTCACCGCAAAAGCTGTGTCTCAGGTATCGCCTCCGATAGCGAGATTCGGAGTATCGGGCTCATGGCGACCTCCATTAGAAAGCACTCCATATCTTCTCTTGCGGTGGAACGCTTCACAGGCTTTCACGTGACGAGCTCAGATGGAGCGTCCGCTTGCGACGACCCTCATTCGTTCGGTACCGTAGCCTCGTGGAGATTCTTCCCTACGCTTCCGCCGTGGTGAGCCTTCGGTGTTCCATCTGTGAAGGACTAATGCCAAGTTGCTCAAACGACCGTCGACTACGGGTGTGAATGAGCAAACGAAGACATAAAGATAAGTAAGAAAATCAAAATTAAGGAAAAGAAAAATCCTGTGATATCCCACCCCATTCTGTCTCTTCGCGTCGCGACGTAGAACCCTTCGGAGGAGAGAGTGGCCTGACAGAAAATGGGGCGGCTTCCTGTGAAAATTCTCGAGGGCGGCTGAAGCGGACTTGTGACGGCGAAATACTCCTTTCGGGGTGATTATTTCCCGTGACCGTTTCGGAACGCTCGCAGGACATCACTGCAGCCGGCAATCCATTGAGCCCTCACCACTATCGAGGTGACGGTATGAATCGACCCACTCTAGCTGATCTCAGTCAGAGACGATCTCAAAGATTCACTTACTCAAGGCAAGACGTAAACGCCAGGCGGCTTTTCACCAGCGGCGTGAATTATATCCGCGGCCACTGTTTGCTCGAATCGATCTGTCATTGCTGAGACAGCTAAGGACTACAACAGAGTTATAGCTCGGCCAACAATCGCCTATTATACTGCCGAAATCTGAGCTACTCTTTTCGAGCTCGGCTCATGTCATAGAGGACTTCCTCCGAAAGTGTTTGTGCCCTTTGGCGAGTGGATTTTCGCGATGCTCAGTGTTTGTGTGATTGCAAACCACTGTTGACCGCGACATTTCCCATCTACGCAATTTCCGATCTTATGCTGGAACGCTGCCCGCGGATCGTTGCTCAACTCGGCGCTCGAGGCGCGAGTTCGCTTTTGGCGAACGAACAAGTCCTTTATTCTGGGTTGTGTTCTCCTCCCAGAGTATTATCCTCAAGATCGAGTCGCTAAAACAAAGCAGAAGCCCTCCAATCCGAGAGGCTGCAAGAGGTTCCGCCCTGAGCTCCTCCTCCTTCGGGAGCCACGCATGCGCAGCTGCTCAGGAGTCGAAACTCCTGAGAGCCCGAAGCACATTTTGCAGCAACTCGTGCTCGAAGTGTGGTGTACACTTACAACGGCATCGTGTGACAGTCGGTGATTGTGGTACTTAATCGTGATTGTGTGAACCAGGAGGAAGAGACAGATCGAACAATCCAACCGATCGATCAGTCTGAGTACATAGAACGCGAAGCAGTCTTTTCGGAGTGACTCTCGAGATGATGAACTTCGAAGGCCGTATTTCGCGACCTGAAGATCAACATTGTCCCAATGGTAAGTGCCAATCCTCTATCACGAGCTTCGCTAATTTGGGGAGACTGTCTGAACCCGTAGAGCTCGCTGGCAGCCGTCAGAGTCTCTCTCGGAATCGGCGAAACGACCTGGATGGATCCGATGTGGGAAATGTCTCCCGCGCGGATAATCAGGACGGAAGGATTCTTCCGTCTGGCGAACTCACAGTTAGCCTCTCAACGTCCCCTCATCCTCTCAGGTTTAATGTTGCCGTTCAACCCCCCGTTCGACTACCGCTCCATATCGAACCAGTTCTTCGCTGTCAAAGATGAGAGCCAGAACCTTAGAAATGAGTGCATCGATATGGTCAACCAGGATGACAATCATGTGAAGCGACCGATGAACGCCTTCATGGTGAGCGGTTCGTCGAGGAACTCTTGGCGTATCCTGACGATGTCAGGATTCTCTGAATCGGTTCCAGGGAGTCAGTCGTTCTCGGAATGGGCGTCAAGATGTCCTTGAATCCACAGGTGTGGTCCCGAGCACAGAGACGCAAAATCGCATTGGAGAACCCGAAGATGCACAATTCCGAGATTTCGAAACGGCTCGGTACGGAGTGGAAGCGTTTGTCGGAGTCGTCGAAACGACCATTCATAGAAGAAGCTAAACGGCTCAGAGCTCAGCACATGAAGGAGCATCCAGATTACAAGTATAAGCCCCGTCGCAAGCCCAAGTCAACGAGCTCTGCCGAGCGACAGCAGCCGCCGAAAAAAGAATTTCCACCGTTTTACGAGTACCTGGGTCGCGATGATGAGAAGCGATTGAATGTTCCGTTACCTCAGCACCCGTTCCTCGGGAGACTCGTTCCGGCGTCGAATCAAACCACCAGCCTCACGGATCACAGGTCAGATCGCCTTCCATAGTTCGGGTCAGCCGAGGTAGCTGCTGCTGCTTTCAACAGTTGTATGTAGATCTGACCCGGGTTCCTGTTGCGAACAGGATATCTCCACCGAAGGAAACCGCGAAATGTGACGCAGAGCAGTCAGCGCCCACCGAGTTCGCTTCGAGTAGTGTTTATCCCTCTCTCTATCAGCAATGGGTGACAGGATGCCAATGCACTTCCCCCATTTGCAAGGACAGCCATCAGAACTCGACATCGTCCGACCAGATAATCGCGGCTCATCAATTGCTACAGGTGAGTTTCTCTAAACGTTGTCGAAAAGTCCCGCCTGTCCGTCTCGATATCCAAGCCCTTCACTTTCGAGTCACCCGCTGGGAGTTACCCGTTCGGACCCGCGCCGGTGTGACACCACGTGAGGCGTATGGACGGAGTCGTTTCCGTCGCGTCTTTTCCCCGGGGAGGGATTCTGAGGGGGCGACCATCGCCCCCCTGACGTCGACTGAGTCTTCTCGAGTCGCTCGAGCTAGACGACTAAATGAATGAGACACTTGACTGAGCTCAGATGCTATAGCGAGTGAGTGTTGTTCTAGGGACTGTACTCATCGGCCTTGCACAGAGCAGCACTAGCCGCGGCCTCTGTGGCTTCGTCCCCACTGCCACCCCTGCCGCTCCTCCCGAATCTGAGTCCACCTCTGAGTTTACCCTTCAATCCACTGTTGCTCAACCTGCACGCGCCCTCCAGTCAAGCGAGCTCGATCGGACTCCAGCCGAGTGATTTCAAGAGACCCATCGAGGACGACAAGACCGAATTAGAGGATGACGGAGTTCCTTCCACCACAACTTTAGAGGTGAGTTCCCAGAATCTCCTCTCGAAGGACGTCGGACAGTCAGGCCACGTCCTCCCCTTTCTCACCGGCGGCGGTCATGGGTCGAGCGGGTCTTGTGAAGAGATTTATTCGGGACGCGAATCTGGAGGAGACCCGTCGAAGTTCGGCTTCGCATGCTGCTACTCTGTAGACTCTGGTGACCGAACTGTTGCCGCGGAACAGCGTTCTCGTTCAGTGGCTCGGCGAGCAAACGGGTGTCGGCCAACCACAGAAGCAGCGAGCCGTTTCATTCTCACCCCTCCAGTGTTTGCCTCTCTGTACTAAAACCCCGATTGAAAAAAATCCACTCGAAGGAGAGGAAGAAAATAGCGGGAGCAAAAGAAGCTGAGAACAGACAGACCAAAGAAGAACGAACTGACAAAGAATGAGAGAGAACTGAACTGAGAAGCCGCCGCCGTCGCTAAGGCCGCCGCGGCTGCTCAAAAGAGGTTGGTTGACTCACCTCAGCACCTCAATTGTAGCTCAAGGCTTTGAAGGAATCTCCTCGGAGGAGAAAGAACGCGACAATAGCAGTAGAAGACAGACGAAAAAGATGAGAGGACGAAGAGTTCTTCCGCAAGCGTACACAAGCTCGGTGCCAAGAGCACATCTTCTCGTGTCTCTCTCACGAACGTTCTCAAGAGCTATTCTACACTCGTCAGACTTTCCGAATCCCATTCAGTTGAAGAAAAGTGATAAAAGCGTGGAGAGAATCCCCTCGCCGAAGCCTCACGAGTTCTGAGTACTTCTGATTGTCTCACCTCGTGTGCTAGACGGGATGACTTTTCTGCCTGAGACTGGATTAGTGTACTCGGGCTCTGGAACGGTTTGAGGGATTTCAGCTGGGTCCGATCTGATGAGAACATTATTTGCTCTTACAGGTTTGAGCGTAACTTGTTGAAGTTTGGTCACTATGAGAATTAGTTCCATGTCAGCGAGATTTCAGCGAAATTTTGAGCGTGCAACAACGATGAATGCGGCTGGGAGAGAAAACGGAGGTGCATCGAACTATTAATTATTAACGCTTGAAAAATGAAATAAAGTCATGTGAGCTCATCAGATCAGCGAAATCATTCACCGGATCGTGAAGTTTTTTTTCTGAAACGCAGACAGCGTGCGCATTCCTATCAGAGAAACAGAAATCATTCAGGAACTCTGGAATCCGATGACAGCAGTGCTTGGAAAAAGTACCTGGAACTATGGGGAAAAGCGCCCTCAAGGGCCTGGGGATAGGAATTCACAGGCGAAAGTCTCGATAGGCTCACTATCCGCATTTGGAGCGCGGATGTGCCTTTCTGGAGATCGGCCATCGATTGAATACTCAATTCATCCATGGCCTCCCGATCGAGGATGGAACGATTTGAGCTACGCTCATCATCCATTTGCAACTCAATTCTGATTGGGCATGACGTGCATCGATGTGTGTCAGCCAGAATACGCTAGCATCGTACAGAAGGCAGAAGAGGCAAGGGCCGTAAATAATCGATGTCGAAACTCGGGTTCCGAGGATCTTAGGCTATCCGTGGCGCGTTGATGTCTCTCCGATTGTAGTTCTCGAAAATGATTGTCGGCACGATGCACGGTGAACTCGAAATCAGACTGGTGCTGCTCATCGCCCATGTTTCCTCAGACAGAAGCGTCGTCAACCGGATTTCCCGAATATTTCAATTTTTTTCATCCCCGCTAGCTCAGGGGGCTCTCTAGTTGGAGCTACTAGAGCGCGGTATCAATCGAAAGCACTATTCGACTCCTCGGCACTTTTCGGCGAATCAACGAGCTTTTTCGGATCTCTGGAGTTAGCGGCCACCAAATCATCACCGCGCACTTATCAGTAGGAAGTATCTTGCGGATCTAGTTCCTAATCGGCGGGAGGGCTCGTGTACTGAATCCCATCGACTTGTTGGATCCTCATCCGATTCCTGATAACTCGATTGCGGGGTGGTGATCCTTCGTTTGTCAGCGAACACTCGGAAAGCGTGTATGAGACAAATTCACTGTGAACGAGAACCTAAGCCGCCGCGCTCCGAGAAGGATCGCAGGTGGGTGTCGGTCTGCAAGTTGGATGCTCTGGTTTGGCTTTTGCATTTTATTGAACTCGTGCTGAAGAGCATTGTGAGCAATAGTTCGGAGGAAAGGAGCGAGCAAGCGAGCACGCAGGCGAGTCTCTGTGGAATCGTTCTTACGTCTCGACGGCTGACTGACTGGATGAGCAAGTTCTGCCGACATGAAAGACGAACGGACGAACGAATCTGAGAGCCGGCTGCACGCTCACACAAAACGCGGGCTCCAATTCGAGAACCTTATTCCATCTATCGGTTCATGACGGCAGCCGTTGCCTCAAATAGAGAATTGAAAAAGCTTCGGCCCCCTCCACATCCCCTTCTCCATCTCCGGATGGGCCAGAGCGTTCTTGCTGCTCTGTCTGCAGACTCACTGGCTTTTCTGATATTTAAAATTCAAAGTGGCTTATCTTATCGGTGGTTTTTTGAAAAGAGCGTCATATGATGCTCAAGAGCCTTCCCCCTATCCCGCCGAGCCCCCATATTGTTGTCAGCGAATGTCATGTGTGGTCCGCCGAGTCTCTATGGATTCGCTCGCTGGCACAGCCCTCTGCGAGAACCGAAACGATTCCTCCGGTGAGGAAGTTTAAATAGCCTCAAGGATACCATCATGAAGCTCTTCGCCCTCAGAGCCTTCCGAATATTCGCTCCTTATCACCCACAGGTGGAGAAAGATAATCGTTTTCATCTTTCCACGTGTCAGATTTGAGAGGTTCTCCTGACGATTTCAGGAAAAGAGGCTTGGGTCCACGAAAGAATTTATTCCGAGTGATTCCAACGAATCTTGGTCAAGTACCCGAATCGCAGGACGTCCATGAGTCTCTCGTTGCGGATGCTTCTTTTGGCGAATCGAACCGACGGAGAGCTCTATTCTGAAGCCGTCCCCGCTGTGACCTTGCTGATAATTCGTTCGCATCAAGGAATGGGAAAATGTGCCCGGAAAATGGAGGATGACCTCCGGCGGCGCGCACTCGTTGCTGAAATGCTCCCACGCTTGGTTCGCTCACAAGCTCACCTTTCAACGAAATCATTCGTAGAGTTCCTGTAAACTTTTCTGCGTCGAATTATTGTCGAACAACGGGCTACGATGGCTCGTCGGTGAATAACGGAAGTTCTTTCCCTTCTGAGAGATCATTATTGGACGCTCGATTGAATGTGACCGAATGTCTGGATGAGGGAAATTTCTCTGCGACGCCTCAGCCTCATTCTAACGTATGACCGAATCGTCGATTCAGACTTTTGATATGAATTCCCCGTTTTCATTGATCCTGGTGGAATTCTCTACTTTAGTTGAAGCCTTTGGCTCGGATCAGAAAAGTACTAGACGGGTCGTCGGAGGGTGACATGAAGCACCTCCTCCTCCAGTCACCTCTAGCAAACAGCAATATCCTCTCTTTCCTTGGCCTGCGGCTACCTAGCAGCCAAAAAGCATAACTCATTTCGCCACCCGAAGGGCAAAACCACGAAACGCTCGACAGCCCCACTCAAAGCTTCTCGGCGGACTAGGATACGCATACCCTTGGCACACAGCTGCCGCGCAGAACGACGCAGGAGCAGAAATCAGGAGGAGGTGCTGGGGGACATACAGTCATGAGGGGAAGAGAATCAGTAGGGAGGATCATAGGAGAGGAAGGGCATCGAGACTCAGTGAGAGCATGCTCAATTTACCAATGAACTGAGCACCGGTAGCAAGCGCGGTGACGAGCTCTTGTCGAGTGTCGCCTCGGGTACTGGGAGTTGGAGCACTCCCTAACGACGGAGCTAACCAACCGAAAGAACGTTGTTTCTGCTTGAGCGCGGAATGATTCGAAAAACCTCACACAATCAAACATTCGGTCACAACAGTGACAAGAAGAAAACCTGGGGAACGTTCAATTGCGTTGGAGCACCGCTCGCACTGCAAGTTTGTGCGTAGTTTGCGCGTTTCCGACATCACGAACGACTTAGACCCTACCATCGACTCGCGATTTCAAAGAGATCGGGCGAAATTCATGAATAATGATGATCATGATATGGGAATAAGGAAACGAGAATAAGTCAGACGCAAGGGATTTGGGAACCGAGAGCGTTTCACCTACGCAGAAACTGCACGAAGAAGCGCTCAATGACTCGAGGCTGAGTCCATGAATTGATGCTGATTCACGCATTCAGGAACAGGCGGCCCATTCCCTGAAGACCCTCGCGATCCATCCACCATACATATTTAATAAAGACACGTCGGAACGCCGCTCCACTTTGAGCGGCAGCAGAATACAGGCGAGATAAGAGGTGAAAGGAAAAGAGAAAGATAAACACGTCAAGGTGAGCTCCGGATCGCGGAGTGTGACGACGATGGTGGTGATACAATCACGATCACCGATGACAGTCCCTCGGTGGAAATTCCTCGTTATTCCATCAACTTGAACAGGACAGTCGTCTCTCGAGATATGCGGTGTCAGCTCCCCTTTGAAAGCAGTATGATTCAAATGGAATTCAAGTTTCGCTGGTGGAAGCTCGCAACGGTGGCCTGACTCAATCCGTAGAGCAAGGTGTTTCTCGAATATCGGAAGTCCGATCTCGAAAACGATGTCCACGTTTGACTCACGTAGAGTCTACGCTCGTGGGTCTGGGCATTCGATCGACAAAACTTGGAAGGTCCAGCGATCCGATTCGGTCTCGGGTTCTCAACACACGCCTTGCGTCATAAGTGCGAATCTCGACTGACGTGAGATCAAGGAACACCAGCCGATCCTCGTTGAGCGAAGTCCTCGCCTGACGGGGGCATCGGCCCACGACTCGAAGCGATGTAGGATCGACCTCTCCTAAAGCGGGAGCCGTGAGCTGGATGAGTGAGCTCGCATCAAAAAATCGAATCGAAAAGATCCTTTGAGGTTTGTAAATCAAATTAGTCTGCAGCTCATCGTTATCATCGACTTGATTCTTTTTTCTACACTGAGCTGAGGAGCGAAGAGTTTCACAGGGGTGGCGCAAGCCAGTCGACTGGCCGACTACTGTCTGTTTTGATAGCGAAATATTTTTCTCGCTCCCTCAGACAGAAGAAATGTTTTTTGAAAAAAGGATGAGAAGCTTGTTGTCTTTCAACACCAGCCGCCGCCGCCACCACCACCGCGGTCGTCGTCGTCACCGCCGCCGTAGTCTATGGTTCACCAATTGTGAGCGCCGTGCGAGGGAGTTCTGTTATTCTTGAGTCTCCGAGGACGACGGCCGAAGTGAGAGATGGAGCAAGGAGATTCTCCATTCGATCCCAACTCTCGGTTTCATTCTTCCCATTCCTTCTGCTCGCACCGATTCCGCGTGGACGAGCGGCGAGGCACCATATCCTTCCGCTCAAGTTCCAACTCGAAATCAGAGTCTCATCCATACACATTTTCAGTTCTCGACGACTTCCATCGAGCTGATGCTCTAGTCTAGATTCGAGCTCTCCATCTTATAGATAGTCTCCCTCATTCGGTTCACTGGTCCTCGCAATTGCCACTCTGACTTTCGGATCCAGTGGCAGGCGGGATCCTGCGAGCTTCGGTTCCCTGAGCAGTTCGTCCGGAAGTTCATGAAACCTCTCGGTCCTAATTTCTCGACGGGAACTCCGTCTGGGTATCGCACTCGATCGTAGTGCGTGGTGTCATTAAGTTCGTGCTTTCTATGCTCGCCTGGTGTTTATTTGTGAGTGTCGGGAAGCAGCGTGGAAGGGTTGCTCCGGATGACATTGGGCTTTGTGTCTGCCCAGTGAGCCGGGCCGTCGTGCTAGCAACGCGGCATTTCCGTTTGGGATGGCGCTCTGCACGCACGTGCAGTTTGTTGTATGTATGTTGCGTATGGGCGCGTCTGGGTGAGCGCAAGTCGTGTCACCAAAGAAAGACACAACAGGGTCGGGGGACACAGGCGTTAATGAAAGGCGAATGACACCGTGTCTGATTCAAGTGAGACTTCCGGATCCGGTGCTTAGAGAGAGATCGTCGCTCCATTCAGAGATGGTGGGGCGAATCTTTTCTGTATTGTTGCACTATTTGGACCACGTTCGCTCCGCTTCGTAGCAACACAATCCGTATAATAGACGCAAGGAGTCACTGGGCGAGATCCAGGAGCCCAAAAGCAAGCCGAGCGAGCTCGTCCGCACGTCTCGATATCCGGACATGGCCTTTGAAGAGCGAGTCGAACTCTCGAGCATCGGAAATTTGTGGTGCACGCCGATAAAGCACCAGCTTTTTTTCGGCTAGGAAACACGTATCACCCTGATGTAACGGTTCGGGCACGTCCATACAAAAAGAGAAAAGAAGGACTCAGCAAATATTCACGGTATCACAATACACATAGCGGCGAACGAAAGAGCCCAAAGAATGCCAGCTGTCAAAGGCACCCGCTCTGGCGGAGATGCGCTTGTGAGCTCGCTTGTGTGTCTCTTCGGGCGCTGTGTCCGTGAACTGAGCGCAAGTGGAACCAGCAACAATGGCTTGTTAAGAACTAGATCCGCAGAGCTCGTAGTGCGCTCGTATTGAACGGTGATGGGAACCCTGAGGTCCGAACGAACCTTTTGACCATTGCAACCGAATCTCACACGCCTCTGCTGGCAGATCGGACAAATTCCGTGGAGGTGGTGGAGTGATTGATCTGCGCGCATGAGACGCCCCTTGTCACCCCTGTCTCGGAGGATTTGAGAGAAAAATTGGTTTGTCTGGGAAAAAGGCGGGAGAACCCGGAATGCGCGTCCGAGGAGCAGGGCATGCGAAGCGGGGGATTACTTACCGAACGTCTCCCCTCAATCGTGTCGATTTCTCTTTTACTAGGGTCTGCGCTCAGAGCCCTCTGGTTCGGAGCCCGAAGCCTTCTCACGACGCTCCGTAGGTGAGCTGCCCGATCGCGATGGTCGAGCTCGGATCTCGGGCATACGAAGTCTTCGTGACGGATGTACCGGTTGGACCGAGCGGAAGATATCGTCCCGATCACACCTCTCCCAGCTGGGAAGTTCCCCGCCAAACCAATGGGAATGTTCAGCCCCCTGATTCCGACTTAAAATATGATCGCGCATTTATTGGCTAGTCTCGAACGAATTCAGAAATACTCGCGAGCCCAACAATCTGCAATGATTGCTCCGTAGTCTAAAATGCTTCCCACGCAGCCTGTGTCCCAGGCTGATTCCATAGAGACTTTTCGGCGTCTGACGGACCTGGATTTCTCAAGTGAAGGGGGTCCTTCGGCAAATACGGGAATCGATCATCAGGTTGAGCCACTGGAACAATCAAGCGGGAAATTCTCATATAAATTCGTTGAGTGAACACTCTCAACGCATTCACCCCCTTCAGGGTCGCTGTTAGACTATATTTACAGACGTGTCAATGATCCTACTCCCCCCCCATCTACGGGGTTCTAGGCTCAGCGACGCCGACGAGTGCAACACTAGGACCTATCTATCGGTTCTCGACGAACTCACTGATGAAGAAACCGGATGCGAAGAGAAAAATCGACAGGATACCGACCACTGTACGCATCATCCTTGCCAGAGCTTGTGAAGAACCGTGAATCTAGCTCCGAGAGTCACGTGGACGCCGTCGGAGCAAATTCGAGTGGATGGCTCCGCCATAAAACCATATCCCGACCAAGAGACTTCTGGCACAAGTGGCCCTCGAATGGAATACGTCGCAAATAGAATGCCGACCAATTATCCAAACCCGAGAGGACGGAAACGATAGACCCAGCAGCAATACTCTCTCACAGAATGAATTAGAGACGAGTGATGCTTGCTTCCTCTTGTCGCGAATAGGTACATTCTTTCAACTGGCCCCGCTCCGATGGGCTCTAACTGCCGTTTCTGAGGGAGGATGCTCGCCCGAGTCAAAATAGAATTTGATATCCGTTGCGGGAGCATTATCCGCTTAATTCCGAAGGTTCCCTTATCATCGCTCTCTGGGACACCAGCTCTTTCCATTCGAATCCAAGAAAGAAAGGCACTGAGAGTTATTCGTTCGGTATCCGACGTATTTATTGACCGACAAGCGGGAAGTTCTTCCTGATGAAGTCTTTTGTTTCGTCGAAGGGTATGCCCCGTTTCGGGTTGTGGGGAATAGTCCTCGGGACCTGCATGGGGAACGAGAGTTCACTTCATTGAACATTGGGATTTCTCACGGCCTTGTTCCTCGCAGGAGATCGCTCCACGGAACTTACCATTTTTATACACTCCGGAATCGGACAAACTGAATAGCAGAGAGCGCACCCCGTACAGTCATCGGTGACGAAAGGCATATGTGTTTTCGAATCGAAAGTAATCGCCTGATATCCAGAATCCGCGCATGTCATATAGCACTTGCCACAGTTGATGCACATGTCGTCGGTGACCACAGCGACGACCTGGAGCGATAAGGTTATGAATACTTCCAGGACGCTGCTCTAGGCCATGTAGTTGGGTCTGAATGGATGAGGTCCATAATGCTTGCTCGGGATTCGCTGACTGACTGAGTTTGCGACCTCATCTAGTACATGACATCATGATCACTCACCTGCTGCTTGACATCGAGTTGGCCGAAGCTGCCCACTTGGCTCAAACTGCTCCCGATCATATCCTTTATTTGGGGTATTTCGGCAGTTTGTCGATTCGGGCCGGTATCCTCGGGGAGATCATCGAGGAGATCGATTTCAACCTGAAAGATTCAACTCTGCCTTGAAGCGTTTGATCCACTCTCACCCGGTATTCAGAACGTCATCTTCGGTTGGGGACCACCGAAAGAACCCGATCAGAAAAGGGAGTAGTCTGATGACTGTTCGTGACCATTGCGCTCTGTACGGCACCTTTCTCTTGGCGAGCAGATCTTCTTTAGTTTTCTTGAATTGGCCAAAATTGGGGAGGCTCTCGGATAGACCAACATCGGGCACAGGTTTCCCCTTCTGATGCACATCTATTGGAGGGCTTTGGTTATCCCAATTCTGGCATTGCTCGAGACTCTTCAGGTACAGATCACACTTCAGCCCGGTGATGTAGTCGTCTATGACGGTGAAGTCCTAATGTGATACAAGAAAACGGACTCGTAGTCAAGGATTACCGGTCGCCGATCGGTTCACGCTGACCAACAATCTCCTCACCTGATTCTGGACAGAGCTGCATATCTGGAGCACGCTCGCGCCTGCTTGCAAAAATTGCAATCCCGCGTCAGCCGAATCGATTCCACCGGTGGCCAGGATCGGGAACCCGGGCAGCGCATTGGCAATGGCAGACACGGCTCTCAGAGCGATGGGTCGGATTGCGTTGCCGCACACGCCCCCGTAGGTGGTTCGTTTCTCCACGCCCACAGCAGGCCACGGATCCCCTTTTCCGCTTAGTGACATCAGGCCCGACACCGTGTTGGTTGCTGTCACGCCATCGGCCTTCCCTGGAACACACTAGGCTCAGAGCGTGTGATCTCGAATTCGGGAAAGAGGCTGCGTCCAAATGCGACGATTCGAGTCGCGCCTTATAGCAGTCGATCTTCCGCTCCGAGCACTGGCTCACCTTCGTAAGCGGCACGCGCAATCACAACAATGTTTGTCACGTTCGGAGTCAGTTTAGCGAAGATTGGAATTTTCACTGCTCCTCTGACCCATGAGCAGATATTCCTAACCAGCTCGGGATCTTGACCGCAAGCGAGACCCATTCCTCTCTCGCCCATCCCGTGAGGACACGACAGATTGAGCTCGAGGGCGTCAGCTCCCGACGCCTCGGCGAGTTTCGCGAGTTCGATCCAATCTTCTTGAATGTATGCGCACATGATTGAGGCGATGACCACCTGAGAGAAACCGTTCGGGGAAGGATTTAGTCCCGGACATTTCGATGGATGTGGAACAACTGTAATTTGACAGTTCCACTCACGTGATCTGGGAAGTCTCTTTTCAGCTCTTTCACGCTAGCGCACCAGTATGCAGATGTTTTCTCAGAAATCAGCTCGATGTTGAGGAATGATCCTTGCCCTGGGCCGTACACGTGGCCGGAGGTTGTGCCTCGAACTATTCGAGGGGAAACATTCGTCACAACATCCTGGAAGGAAAGAACCCAGGTAACCCATCGGATCGGATCGTCGAGTTGCGTGGAGCTGAGAGAGCCCTATAGATCTCTTACTTTATCGAGTCCGAAAGTTTTAGTCAGAGCGAAGCCCCAGCCATTCTGGAAGGCGCGACGAATCATGGCGGAGGTCGTAGTGGGCGGAGCTGATGCCAGGCCGAAGGGATTCTTGAATTTGATTCCGCATACTGTGACACCTATGTCAACGCCGTCGATAGGAGTGTAGAACTTCGGCAATCTGAATTATTAAGGAGTTCTGACGTTTCTCAAGTTTTGGATGCTTTCGGAAGGTTCTCCCACCGGAACGGCGGAGGCGATGCTTAGCTCACCGTGGTTCATCGGGCACTCGCAATCCGGCAATACTCTGTAGATAAGAGTGCATCGACCAAGCGGCGATTTTTCCATCGTTCACAGCTTCCACGGTCGTTTCCGCGACTCCGGCAATGTCACCTCCGGCGAAAACCCAGGGTTCGCTGGTCGTCATTCTGGTTTGGTCAACCTCGGGCAGACCCCATCTATTCATCTTCAGCGGAGCCAGAGCAGCCAGAACTGCGGAGAATTTCAGAGTGAAACTCTCTGTATGGATCTCACGGTAATTTTCGCTCTGATTTTGATTTTTGTCGATAGATGAACTAGGTAGTCTCCAATTTATCTGTTCAATGAAAATTCGCTCGCCGCCTATGAGCGGTCCTGGTCAGCCATGATACACCGATCGTCATTTCCTATATAACCAGGAACATATATCGTGACGAAAAGCCATGAGACGCGATTCTGTCAAATTCCAAGTCGAGTGCATATCAGAGCCCATCGAGTGAAACTGGGGAGAAAATACAGCGAATCCGACAGCGCCTCGACGCCACCACATGGACAGACAGAGCACTGAAGGTGAACAACCGCAGTGACCTCCTCGAAGAATCCGAATATCGAACGGCTTTCAGACTTTCTCGGAACGTTTGCCATCCGCTGCGCAGCTAACGGTGTTCGACGACATCGCAGCAATATTCGCGTGTGGAACGTCGACTCGGCGCTCCGGACTTGGTCTCCAAAGTTTCAGGAGGGTATAGTGAACCTAGTTTCGCCTCCAGAGAAATTCCAGAAGGGACTCGATGTGAGCGGCTCTCCGATTCCCCGAGCTTCCGAAATTACGGCCGCCCGGTTTTCCATTGTTAGGATGGAACCAAGGATAAGGATCCCGGGACGACTAGAAAGAGCCATCAAACTTCGAACTACTCCAAGGGATATTAATGGGAAGCGGTATCCAGGTGTACCTGACTGAGAGACCGAGGAAGCATCCTTCCCTAGTCAAGCATTTGGAAGAATGCCCATCAATGACGTTGGCTGGGCATTGCTGGAGAGTAAGAGTCCACTAATTTGACCAGTCGGAAAAAAAGGCGAAGATGCAGAGCGGAATGATTCTGTTCCGGTGACCTCAGTGATCGACTCCCTTCGCGTTTTTCGGAGCCGCTCCACGCAATGCTCGTCGCGCTATGCAATGTTTCATACTCGATACCTTGTAGTGCCGGTACCTACTGTCTATGGGCTGCAAATTGGGAGGGGAGCCCGCTCATCCGCAAAATCAAAGGGGAATTTTGTCACTGACGGTGGACAGTGCCGTCCCCGGAAATGGATGGAAAAGCAGTCGCCTGACTTGTTCCTCCACTCCTCAACTCAGGCTTCGCCGCAGGGCAAAATTCCTCCTAACCCTCGATGTCGTGGTCTTTCACCTTCTCGTCTACTGAATGATAAGCAGGCCCCCCTGAGCAGAGCGGGGAGCGATGCTTCTCCGGGGAAAACCGGAACGCCTTGTGTCCTTCAGAACACGTAACAAAAATGAGGTCTGGAATTCGAAGCAAGATACAGAAGAATGTCACGAGCCCAAAAGAGAATTATCGGTGACGGACGCTTCGACGGATATGTTAGTGGAGAAACCGGGAAAGAATGTATACATACACAGAACAGCGGTAAGAGGGCAGGTCAAAGTAATGGGCCAAGTATATGGAGAGGAAACAAGCCGTCTTATTTTTCAATTCTGGAACCCGCTGTTCCGGGAGAATACGCGCCAGGAAATGCCTTATTGAAACGTGTTGAACCCAGCGCTTTTTGCTGACGTTCTGTCCCAGAGACGCTGACGCTTCGCATTCTGGTCTTGGGCGGTGTTTTGGCACCGATCTGTCAATTGCCAGGTATCTCACCAACGCAAATGCATGGGAATATAGGACATCGTTCGTGGCGTCTGTGAGGATAATCTTAGTCGTCCTGGACGACGATTTCCGTCTCAAGCGAATGACCAGAAAATTACGGATTCGAAATGAGGCATTAGACTCAGAAGCTCAGAAAGTCCCGCGACGCCGCCGGTCGACTTTTCTTTCAACTGTCCCATGCTCCTGAGTTGGAGATCGGCATTCCATGGGTGGACTCCATTCCTCCTGATCTTCCCAAGTTTTCTGCTTGTTCACCCTCGGCGCACGCCGGTGGTAACGTCCACTGGTCCTGTCGCCACGAGAACAGCCCGTGCCCTGTGCCCACACGGGATCGCGCGCTTCTCGAGCCCCAATACGCGGTATTTAGGCGATCGGGTGGTAGAACCATTTTTTCTGATGCGATGGAGCATACGTCTGTCTGGTGCTTTTCACGAGGCTACAACGTGACCCGGATTCCGTTCTCTTCGCGCACCTTCCCGCACACAGTGAGTAAAGTGCACTGAACCGTGGCTAGTTTTTCCCTTGCCAGGGGTGGAGAGCTCAGACCTTTATCGTACGAGGGCTCGGTTTGCGTTGCCCAGAGTCAACCACGCAGCGCTGCAGTCCGCTGCAGTTGCGTCTAGCTTGTTGTCAGACTTGGCAGTGTCTTCCGAGCGGTTAACGTGCTTCGAATATCCGTCGGACGGGCGAGCGAAAGACGATTGAGGAGCCATCGAACCACGTTCACTCCTCGAGATAATTTATTAGCCCCCACAAGTGCTCGAGCTCGTGAAGAGCATTCTTCCAAGTGAGTCGCGTGTATTTTCAATACAGTACATTCGGGAATTTTCGCGGATTCGCCGAAGTCGGAGTTCTCGATTTCGCCGCGGAAAATTCCGGAACGAGAGCGAGCCGACTACTCATACGCGTCGCGAAGCGACTCCTCAACTTGTGGATACTTTCCAGAAATGAGTGGCTCGGTCACTTTTCTTCTGATTTCAACGCTGGTTGCCGGAGCCCTATCGCAAGGAACGACAAGTGGAGGCGGAGGGCTCTTCGGAACGCAAACGGCCCTCCGGCCGCAGTCCATCACCGGTCTCATCAATTTGCTCCGATATCAAAATCAGTCATGTGAAGGCAGGAACAACCAAAACGGAACCTGTCTCGGAGAAGCCGATTGCCTCGAGCGCAAGGGAACCGAAGTGAACCGATGTGCTAACGGTTTCGGCGTGTGCTGCTATGGTAGGTCGCTCACGAGGAATTACCCTAGAGGAGTGTGCGGCGTCGTAGCTCGATTACGTATAGTGTCATGCTTGACTTTGTCAATCGTCGATTCCGAAAGCTATGCTCTTGGAAGACAGTCGATGACTCCGTTTCAAGACGCAGCGTGAGTCCCCGGCAGATGAGATCGAGCCTCGGATGAGCTGGCTCCATTGGAATCGCGAGAAGCTGACAAGAAAATGAGCCGAGACGTAGAAGCCAGAAAAACCGGTATTTTGAGAGTGAGTGGACAACGGTCACCTACTTCTAAAAAAGAGGAGGCCCATCGGGGTCAGAACAGGGTCATCGACCCCATTTTAACAGACCGGAGCCGCAAATCGTCGACTTTATGATGTCTTCCCGCTCAGACGAGCGCTTACAGGCGGATTCTATCAATCACGGCTTTCGACTTTCCCGCTTCATCGAGTAGATAGAACCGGGGAAAGTTCGAACGAACGACCGAAAATACAAATCTGGAACTTGAATGATTTTTTCCAGTCTCTTTCACCTGTGGAAAATCGACGTCGAACAACGAAACCGAGTTCGTGAACCCCCACTACCCCAACGGCGAGAATGGTACCGACACCTGTCAGGTCACCATCGAAAAGCAACCGAACGTCTGTCAACTCAGACTGGACTTCCTCGAGTTCTCGCTTGCTCAACCCGACGAGAATGGACAATGTATCACGGATTCGTTCATGGTCAGGACAACCGTCGGTGAAAGGCTTCCGATTCTCTGCGGTGAGAACGCTGGACTCCACCTCTACGTCGACATGGGCCGAAGCAGTGGAAACCCTGTCGTTTTGAGTGTTGTCAGCAACGGCGCCATCATGCTCCGGCGCTGGAGAATCCGAATCTCGATGATTCAGTGCAATTCTTTGGATATCGCCCCCGCGGGTTGCCTGCTTTACTACCGCAGCCCCCAGGCCATCGTTCGATCGTTCAACTACGGCGCTAAGGTCGACAACCGAGTTCGGTACCTCTCCAATCTCCGGTACTCGATCTGCATCCGAGTCGAGGAGAATTTCTGCTCGATCAAATGGGAGACCGAGACCAACAACTCGTTCTCGTGGGGCAAACCCCTGCAGAGCGGCGCCTCCGGACCCGAATGCAATGTTGACGATTTCATCGGCATCGACAGTGGATCCACCCTCGGGGAGGGCGCTGGACAAGACCGTTTCTGTGGAACCATGCTCGGCGAGGAGAACGTCATTATTTGTAAGTACATATACCTTTGTGGATGGGATTCGAACTCTTAAAATCCGATCACAACAGATATCCGGAGGTTGTGGACATTAGAACGTCAGAGGACTTCGTGAAGATTCCTCCGCGCCAAATCACGCTCTGACGTATCGTCTTCCTCTTTCACAGCTCACAGCAAACCCTTCCTCTTGAAAGTGAAATCCAACCACGCCGCATCCGACAATGCCGCAAACGGACAATACGGTTTTTCGCTCAGATACACGCAGTTGCCATGCGTCATTTAAGTTATTGAAGCAGCCTCGATCGGAGGGATATTAGCACAACAATATTTTAAATTATTAAACGACGGAATAAAACATCTCAGTATCGAAAAGAGGGATATGTTTACCAGCGTGGGATGCCGTGACGCATCGACGCATGTCTGACCAGGAGAAAATACTGGGAGTCCGCAATGGATTAGAAACTCACCCTCTGCATCGCACAGCGTGGACCCGAAAGCGGATATGATGAAGTTGCACTTGAGTTTTATGGTTTGCTCTTCGTCCTCAATCCAGGAGCCGTCCTCGAGCTGCTCCGTGCGACAGAATGTAATCGATTTGATTTTCCCACCAGGAAGTCTCTCCACAGAGCGGGGCGCGAGGAAGGGTAAGAATTCGCACGATTCCTCTTTGGCCAACTCCATCTGGGAATGGATGTTCACTTACTTAGTCAGATAGCATCCAGAAGACGTAAACCAAGCTGAAGACTATAAGACGCACGGGAAGGCAGACTCACCTCTTCGGGAACAGCTCTGACATTATTGAAGCCTTTGCGGAACACGACGAAAACTTTCTTGGCGCCGCAACGCAGAGCCGAAGTCGCGCAATCGAAAGCCGTATCCCCGGCTCCTAGCACAATGACTGTGCCACTCAATTGTGGAAGTGAGCTCTGAAACATCGTGGAGGACACTTTCAGAATAATTCCTGGACTTCGGGTCTGGTGCTTAGCCAGAGGAACTGGAGGCCGTACGAGGGAAAGGAAGAGTTGCTGTTCTCAGTTAGTAGAGCGTAAGCCCGGCTTGAACCCACCTTGCAAGCGCATAGGCCAGCTTTACTTCCAGCAGCGACGAGCGGCAGAAAGTCTTTCGAAGAATAGTATCCAGACCGTGAGTCGAGACCCTCGAAAACGGGGAATCGCTTAGGATCGGGCAGACCTGTCGTGAAATACACAATTTCGGTCATTAGGGACATGTTCCCAAGACCGTTTAAAGAGTGTCTTGAGATGTTCTCAGAGACGAAGCTTATAAAGGTGAATGATAAATTCGACAGGGAAATGCCATCTATTTACCGATTCCTATGAAAGCGGCTTTGACGCCGCCGCTTCTCAACGACTCCAGGGTGAAGGCAGAACCTAGAGATTTCTGATATTCGATCTTCACACCGAGATCTTTCACAAGCTGCAGCTCAAAGGAGACGACATTGAACGGTAGACGGTATTGGGGGATCTCCGCGGAGCTGAATTGGGGTTAATTGCTTTCAGTTGAGGCGACCTCAGGGAACCAAATATTCCTCCCCATTCGAGATCACCCGTTCATACTGTTGTATAGTCCCGGAGCAACTCACCTCAAACCTCCGAAGTACTCTCGCTTCTCGAATATCGTAATGTCAGAATAACCGAGTCTAGCGAGGAAAGTCGCGCAGGACATCGAAGCCGGGCCACAACCAATCAAGGCAATTTTTGCTTTGTAGGATTCTGGCAGGTTTCCTGCGATTTCGGGAGGGAGCGTCTGAGGGATCTGTGGGGAATTTTTCCGATTTATTCAAATGGAACAGGTCGCACTCAGCATGATCATGGGGATCGGGAATAGAGAAGAAAATCATATGGGCTATCAATATTATTATTGATAAATATATGAGCTCTACGGAGGAATATCTACCTTCATCTTCCGGAAAATATCAGTAGCGAACTGCTGGAGACCTCCGATGTTGATTGGACCTTCTTCAGTTGCGTACAGGTTGCAGCCCCCTACGCAAAGGTCGGATGTGGGGCATACCATTCCGCAGGTGAGCCCTAGTGGATTATCCGAGAAAATCTGTTTCGCGGCCCCGTAATAGTTCTGCGAGGGAGTCGAGCTTTGAAAACTCGAGCGAATCTCTGCGGACGCAGATGCCACATAGTTTCGGGGCGATCTAGCTCGAGGCGCTCGATATTTACCTTGTTTGCGATGCAGCTGATGAAGTGTTTCACGTCCAATTGAGTCGGGCAACTTTTCTGGCACGGAGCGTCTGCGCACTTCAGACACCTGGAAACGGAGTCGCACTCTTTAGAAAGTCGGAATTACTCATCCTGGAAGCATGCTTGAAAATACATTATTTGTTCCTAACCTACCTCGCAGCCTCCTTCAGAGCTCCCCGCTCCGATAGAGTTGTGTGCTTGATGTCGTCGAAGTTTTTTTCCAAAGAGTTGCAGCCCTTCGAAGAAAAACTCAAGCGTCAACTTACGCTCGGAAGCCCCGACCTATCTCTCTGCTCACGGCACCCCGCGGTCCCGAGATTCTCAGAGTTACATCCCGCTATCCCCCCCCCTTCTTAACGAGGAAATGCGAAGAAATTATTGCCGTGGAAATAAATAGACGCGGGAAGCGTCGAGAGGTATTAGGTCGTTATCGTGGCCACCTGTATCGCTTCATTGAGAGATCTAAATCACAAGCGATACATCCACGGAACGAGGAGTAGGTCAAGATTACGGTTGCTACGAACTTTTCGTTCGGTTGTCTTGAGAGAGATCCTCCAATGCTATAAACGGGAGCTACTCATTGCAGGTCGCAGAAGCACTGACTGACATTTCACCCTCTGTCCTATCGACACCGATGCCGACCGCAGAATCGGCAGCGACGGGCTATTGAGGAGTCTCTATGGAACCGTGATTCGATTCCCGCGATCGAAGATCGCGAGACTGGCTCACCTTGCACTTCCGGTCTTCATTCCGCTTCCAGAGAGCCTTGTTTCTCTTGGTCTGTGGACTAGGTACGAAGTTTGCCGAATGTTTGACCCGCGGATTGAGAGCAAGAATGTTCTGGAAGGAAGAAAAATCAATCAGCGACGAATGATATCGGAGGCTAGGATCGCTAGCCGTTATTGGGTTCTTGAGAAAAAAGGGACTTCGCGGAGCGCGCCAGTAGCGGATCAAGGCATCAGGCATCACGCTCGAATTTCATCCAGCTGTCCAACGCCCTTGGGAACACCTTCGGAAACAGTCTCCCGTGGAAACTGGCCCAATTTACGCCCGAGGAGCTTTGCGAAGCACCTTACCCGCAGAGAGCGGTCTTGGTTTGCGATCGCGGCTCCTCAGATCGAGAAGAAATTGAACAATGATTTGGTCTATTTCTCGCGATTATTCTCGAGGGGGGGAACGCATTCTCGCGCGGATTCAAGTCCACGGCAACTCCCTCGTTTCCGCATACATCGATACGGTCCGAGAACGGCACAGTTAGAGAATAATTCTGTGGAACGGGAATGGCGCGCGACGTGAGAGCGAGAACTCTCTTCACGATGGCTTGCTCCGCCGGATCGCGCCGACTTTGGTGCCTCTGATCGCAGATATACACACCGAACTTCAAGGCCTCTTCGATCTACTCCGCTAGTTTCTGAAGAGCGCCTGAATGGAGACCCATAGCAATGGGACGACGAGCGATCAGCTACGCAGTAGCACGCCGATTAAAAAATAAGAATTGCGTCTGAATACGGATCAGGGAATTTAGCTTCTAGATCCCTCGCCGGAGAGATCTATCAGACTTTTGCTCGGAGGCAGACTTCTTGATGCCCGAACCCACCTCGATATCGGGAGGATCCACGCTCAGCATTCCGTTGGTCGGAGCCATGATGAGTGAAAGCTGAGTGACACCAAGTCAGAGGATTCACTCGAAACAGCTGTTCGACTTGTGTCTTGCAGGAAGTATCCAAAAGGGAACGCTGAACGTTGTAGAGGTCGCCAGAGAGGTTGGTTGGTTGGATTGATTGTTTCTTGGAGCTGGCAGCCGCTCGTAAGGCGCACGCTAATGCGACGACAGCCACAGCCAAGACGGAGAGGAGACCGCGTTGAGAGAAAGTGCGCTAGGATCCAGACGGAGGAAGAGTTATCTCGGAGCGATATCGTCGATAGATGGAAGTAATGCAGCTCCGTCAATCGACGGAGAACTACCTCCTCCTGATATCAGCCGTGATTTCAAAAGTATTTTTCTCATTGTAGAGTCTCATTCATTGAAAACTCCCATTCGCATCGGCTTCCGATCACCCTCGATTCCGGACATCGAATTGTTGATTTTTATGATTATGGAACTGACGAAACATTTTTATGCAAGCGGGAACTATGCAGCAATTTCCTCATCACTTTTCGTCGAAGCGTCCCGGTATCTCCCTGGTATCGTCAGTATGGAAGGGGATGGATAAGCTGAGAAAGAGCAGTTCCGGAGTGGAGATTCGTCAGTCGGCGTGAGTGAGAAGATACTCTAGAAACAAACGAATCGTATGCATTGATATTGAGCCAGAGACGCTTCTAATCGCCGTACATGGGCTTTGTCACGTACGCCAGCCTTGCGGCCGTTTAATGTTCCCGCTGACGCGGTTTATGAGGTCGGGTGCAAGTCATTTCACTCACTCAGTAGTCCCGTGGGCTCGAGACGCTCACCCGAATCCAGTTTTTTCAAGAAACCAGACTCCGTCGAATATTCACTCCATTCGCTGAGAGACCGGCAATCGGGACGCCCTTCAGAGTAATGCTACCGAGAGGAGATCGGCGGACCAGAAAGGAAAAACACTCGGGTATTTGTTCTTAGAAAGCTCAAACTTTATTCACCCCCGATTTTTCGCATGTATTGGTGAATGAGTTTTCGGGATATCCGGCCTAGTCGCGAGCGGAAGGCGGACCATTATGCGGATAGCTAAAACTGCGAGGTGCATCTGTACAACTTTCGAATGCTCGGGAGCGTTCTGACTCGAGTCAGACACGCGCCTCGACATCGTGCGAATAATCATGCAGCGTACACATGTCCCGTAAACCGAGCCGAGACCGTGCCCTCGGCTGATTTCCGGAGCTGTCCCCGGAAGATCGGGACTCGTCGAGTCATATTCTAGTCTAGGGAATGGTGGATCGATGGATGCGTTCCCCGCTCGACTGCAGATCCTGCTCGATTCCGAATGAGCAGCGTCCGTGTTCCGGTGAGGTACACGTCCTAGTGTAGGACGCCGGTAAGGCCGATTTTCACACTCAGGCCCGAACATGGAAAGCGTTGATGAACTCCGGAGCACGAGATATGACATGCTCGAACTCCGCTTGTGAGAGGTGTCCGTCACTGTCGATATCGCCTTCGTCGAGAACTTTCGTCACGACAACTTCAAGCTCCTCAGCTGTGAGTTGATTCTGGGTGAGAACAGCTGCAGCCATCGCGATGTCCTCGGGTCCCAACTTCCCGTCGTCGTCGTAGTCGTAGATTGCGAAGGCGAACTTCGCCTTCAGCTCACGCGGAGCTCCTTCACTTAGCACTGACATCATGTAGAGGAAGTCTTCGAAACAAAGGTCGCCCGTACCGTCGTCCGAGAAAACGCGCAAGAGTCGCTCCTTGAAAGGATTCTCTCGGAACTCGCTCATTTTGAGGAACTTTTCCTTGGCGACTCTCACACCTCTGGCCTCGTCGTTGAGCATGGTTTTCGGGACTAGTTGTGGATCGAGATCGCGGAACTTTTTGTGCAGCATCAGGATCTCTTTTCTAGTGAAAAATGTGCTGTCCTGTAGGTCTTCGAGCTGTTCCTCACTGAAAGTGCTCACTTTGTTGCCCATGGCTGCACCTCACACCTCCGTGCAGCTTCGAGTGCGCGGATCTTGTCTCATCCTCTCTCGCGGAAGCCGGAGTGACCTCCGTAATACGTCCTTGCAGGGAAGGAGAATCGGGGTCAGGAAAGGGTCCTCACGGGCGTGAGGGTTCGTGATCCTGCATCGTCCGGGGGTTCTGCGATTTTTCATGAACATCCACCGTGCGACGACAGCGAATACCGCCCTGAGAAATTGTTTCGAGGTCGCGAAAATCGATTCCGCTGCGAAATTGTTCCTACAGCGGGCAACGCAGCGGAGAGAATGTGGAGCAGAGCATAAAGTCGCTCTCTGCGAGGAGGAAGGAATCGCGCCGCAGCTATGCAAGCATCAGAACCTTCGAGGGTGGAGTGGGTCTGCAGTGATCTCGATACCACTCTCGTTTTCCCCGGCCTCCGCGTTACATCAGAGAGGTCGGAAAAACTGGACACTACAAAACAGTCATTCAAATTAGATTCCGGTCAGCGACCCCGACCCTCCAACAAGTTTTTCCGATATACTGTGTTGGGAGGGATCAAATCACCACGTCCGTACGATCTGATCACCAGGAAGCCTCTCCGCCCCGCTCACTCGGGTCTGCCAATGATTGAGTTCTCGCGTCCCACTAACTCGTTCGGAGTTGGCATGTTCGACTACACTTGGAACTGACCTCCTGCCTTGAAGTGACCCGTGACCCACCGTCGTGACCGATACGGCACGGAAGGGAATATCGGGTCGCTCCGGAACGAATGATATCATCGCAGCCCTCGGGCAGAATTCTGTGGCCGTATCCGCATATGTACTCAGGAATCGTAAGCTGATCCGGGAGCGAATTTCCTTCGATGAAGACGTATCGCAAGGATATAGAATGGAGGCGCATATGAAGCCCGATGAGCCGAGTGGGACTCCATCGCTGATTCTCCCTGAAAGGTGATTGACAACCCGTCGATCTCGCTCGCGATTTCTCCCTCCCATCGGTCAATCACTCTTCTCATCATTTAAGCTCATCAAAGCTTGATTATGAATCTTGATTGAGCCGCTTGAGCTCTCGATCTCACGATCACGAGCACAAAGCGAGCCTTTGAATGCTTGCCCGTTCATACTCTTCTGGAATATCGCGTGCTTCGAAGTAAAATATATTATATATATATATATACTAGTACGTGCGTTCCACGGTACCAGCCGGCCTTATCCAAGATCACGTCCGCGCGAGCTAAGCCTCGCGGAATATATCTAGTGGTGAATATGACAGCATTAAGATCTCAACTGGACAAGTGCAGGGATTCCTGTGACATTCACTATCGAATTAAGGCGGCGGACATTGATTGTGCGGCGGGGTTCCAGAGGCTCCGCGGAACCCTGTCCGAACCCCGCTGGACATTGACAGACGTGAGCGGATCGGATGGAAGCCCTCTATGCATACTCAACTGGTGACTTCGTATTTCTATTTCCCTATGATGATCGAATAATCAGTGATTATACTCCATCGGCCATTCATCGATGAAACTAGTGTTTTGTCCGCTGTTGCCCGACAGTTGAAACCCGGTATTCCCCAATCTGATTGGAGAAGTGGAGTGGCATGCTCTAATTGAAGGGCACCGTACGTTGAGGTTAGAAAATTTTGAGGCGTGTCGTTCAATTTCTGGGACTACGATGAGTTCTCCTTCGGAAGCGGGTCCTCCGGGAAATTCCGAGAGCTACTTACATACAGAACGGCAATCCATTGCTCTAGCGCAGTGGTTCCCGAATTGTTTTCGGCTGTGGACCCCCTAGGAGCTCTCGCTGTATGCTGTGGCTCCCCTGCCGGAGGAGTAAGTGCTTCGACGCTCGGCATAATTTTTACAACGTAGATCAAAGGGAAACAATGTCCGAAGATGAACTTGAGCTTCGTTTAATCTCACTTAAACTACAAGAACGAGTTCGTGGGAGGTTTCATTTCGCATATGGCTCTTATCTTTTCAAGATCCGCCTTCAGCCCGTCGCATCCTATGATGTGTCCAAGGAATTTGACTCCGGATTTTGCCGACTTCAGTTCTTCTTTGTTGGATTACAATCCTATTTCTCGTGCTCTCTCGAATAGCGCTTGTAGATTTCTGAAATGGTCCTCTCTTGCTTCCTCCAGATTAGAACATGGCGCCGCTTTGTTTCGAGCCGACGAGAGGTCCGCGAGAAAGACGTCTGTCAACTTTCGAGTTTCGAGAGCTCACGTTGAGGCAGACATTGAATTTTTTGAGTCTCGATGGATCAGGAAAGTGTACCGACGGATGGTCGAGTGGTTAGCGCTTTTGTAACTACTCGTGCAAACGTGCGTTTCACTTCGTGAAATGCCGCAACGACGCCGCTCGCGCGGGAGGCGGTGTGGGTTCGATCCCTGCTGCCGGAAAAACATGCAGGTACTCGGCCTTGATCCTCCTGGGTACATTTACTCTATGGATCCATCCTCGGGAGCAATGTGAATAACACTAACCGGGACGTTAAACCTTGGCTGTGTGGTTCAGCCCGGAAAAGTAGGATCAGGAAAAAAAACGTGAGCAATCCTCCTTCAAGTCGGACATAATAAGTAATCTCGAAACTTGGCAGGGACAAAACACATTATTGGAGTCGTTGCATTGTGAGTAAAATTCATGAGTAAATACATCGCTACCTTTCTGCGCTATATCGCCCTGCGGACCGCGACATCTCGGCCACTACGACAACTCGGCCACTACGACAACTCGGCCACTACGACAACTCGGCAACCACGACAACTCTGCCACTACGACTACTCGGCCGCGGGGACAACTCGGCCACTACGACTACTCGGCCACTACGACAACTCGGCCACGAAGGTGGCTTCTCGATATATCGGTTCGCGATGGATTGGATAAAAAGGGTACAGCCGAATAACGTGGCGATCCCGGCTACGATCTGTTTTGGAAAACTGACTAGATAGGGTGATAGCTCTCGGTTAGTAGAAGACTTTTTCACGAGTCTCCCAGAAATCGACGCGGCCACTTTCGAGAAAAAGGTCAAAGTTCAAAAATCTTAAAATGCGATTTTCTCGAAAACGGTAAGAGCTAGAGGGTCGTGCTTGGTCTCGTTGGAAAGCTGGCGAAAAATGCCACAATTCTAGCCCGGTCCCATTTTCCTCAGTACTTTTCATCATCATTTTTTTCCGAATTTTAATTTTCTTCAAGCTCCCAGACACCGAAGACCTTCGTGAACATGGATGTCACTATGTCACAAATAAACCTAGTAAACCCATGTACACGCACACCAAGTTTCATCAAAATCGGAATAGTCCAAATAGGTTCATTCGCGAACACTTCATTCCCT